TTGTTTGTTTAATGAATTTTCTGAATGAATTCTATAACGTCTCTATCTTTGTCATGTGTAGCTACTGAAGTCTACTCAGTGAGCTTATGGTAGACTAATGATTGGACAGAAATTTTCTCAAATGTCTGGAGGCTATAAGCCTCCAGTTTTTGCCTGGGGCCTATGTGTATGTTGCTACGTGAGTTCATCACTCAGCCAGGCAGTTTACAACTCTGCTTTAGCCTTCATTTTCCACTTGTGTAGAGCCTCCCGGTAGTCAGAGATGAGAGCTTAGAGCCTTCTCAGGTCCTTGATGAGTATTCTCACAGCTACACCCAGCCCTAGGCAGACAAGTAGCCTTCTAGATTCCTAGAAATTCCTCGTGAGGCCAAATAAAAACAAGCTATTTGCTTGTGGTCTTCCAGTGAACCACCATGACAAATAACCATGATTATTTGGAATTGAGGTTCATCCTACTCTCTCTGGAACTAAGAATACAGACTGTTATTTTTTAAGGCTACCACTGAGCTGGGGAGCAGGGTATTGGGGGTCAAAATGCCACAGGTTTTTGTTCTTACCAAGATTCAGCCATATTTGTATATGTTCCCAAGGATGCTAGAAGCCTTTTGGTTAATTTTCAGAGTTCCAAAAAAGTTGGTTCTGGCCATTTTTGCCATTTGATTCATTGTGTTTATGGAGGGTTGAACTTTCAGAGATTCTTACTCTGCCACTTCCCCCTGAACCATTCTTGCCTCTACTTCTCTTTATACATCTGCCCACTCCTCTGTTGTATGTACCCTGTTACTGCCAGCACAGCTAAATGACTATATTTCTTGTGCTAGTCATTCCCTAACTGGATTCTCTGTGTCTTAGTTCAAATTGTTGTGAGAGAAAATCTGATTGAAACATCCCAGGCAATGGAATGATTCACTCGGTACTAGTCATCTATTTTTGTTTGGAGTGAAAGACAACGTATAAACATGGCCACCTGGCCTCTTGTCTTATGCAGGAGTTGTGTTGGGAGGTAGTGACAAGGAAAAGGAAGACAAATAGTCTTGCATTTCCAGCACAGACTTCATAGTTAATTTCTCTCCCTGTGCCAGTGACTCCCATTCTCTCATGCATATTCTGGAAACTTGTTTCTGGGAATGCAACCCTCAGGTCACTCCCCTCAGGACTAGGCTGGTACTCTCTTCCCACATTTCTGTCCTCCTTAGGCCCTTTCTTTTATTCTGCCTGGGTCATCTCTTTGAAGGGCCGCTGAAGATCAAGAGAATCACTTCCCCCTTTCTCTATAGTACTGCCCTTGAAATAAGCATACAAAACCATCATTTTTCAAGAATGTTCAGAAGAAGGAGACACCGTTTAATAAAAATTAAAAAGTTAGGCCATTTCTTCCCATCTGCCTGCATGGTTCTGCACCAATATTGTGCTGAACTTTGGGTGCTGGTTACCCGTTCACTTATACCTGCCTTTGTGTCTTATGCTTTACTTTGGTCTTTGATTTATGTGGTCTCCCAGCTCTCTAACTACTTTCTAATTCCTCTTGACTTTGCATTATGCTTACTTTTTCTAGATTTTCTATTTTGAGTTTATCTGCTGTTATTTCCAGGGTGCAAGACTACTCATTCACTTATCAAATCCTTCATAAACAAATCATTCAGTATTCAGAAAAATCATGATAGGCAAAGTGAATGGTTTGTCTTAATGTTAGCTGTTGGTTTGTGTAGCAGGTGATATTGATGCTCCCTCATAGCCCATTGGCCCACAATAGAAATCACCTTTAGCTTGAATAAACTCTTCTTATATAGGCTAATGGCTTTCTACCTTAAACACCTGGGTCTCTTTCTTCCTGAGGCCTTCATCTGGTTATAGGACATTCTTGGCCTACAAGATGGTCATGCTGGAATTGTTGGAGAATTAATCCTCCCAGGAGCAGCCCTCAAGCAATGATAGATGGAGGTTGATGAATAAGTGCACTGGCTTGCTCAGGAGGACAGCCCTGAAGTGTGTGAGAGTCCTAGAGATTTAAGCAGGATTAAACCCTAGTTATTCATAGCATTATTCTACTCTTTAACACTCTGTATTGGTTTTCTTCCCTCACTTCCTTTTTTCCTCACAATATTTCCTGGAATTGCTTCCCAAATAAATTACTTGCTCCAAAATTCTTGTCTCAGTGTCAGCTGTTGGAGGAACTCAAACCAAAACAGTAGGATAATTGGCTTTACTCAGAGTCACTGAAGACAGTGATGCTATCTATGGTAGGAAAAGGGAGGCTATGATTACCCTTTTGCACAGATACAACTTTGAAAGTGTTACACATATTCTAGTATGGGACTAAGTTGGGTAGACATCTTGAACTTTGGAGAGAATTCAGAGAACCAAGATTGAGTTCTGACTGCCTCATGAAGCCATGAAGATTTTTGCCAGGGGAGCTCTAATCAGAGATTGCCAGGTGGTTTTCATAAAGCAGAAACAACAGGTATGCCCATTTTATGCGAGAAAACTGCTACACAGAAAGAACATCTTTATCAACTTTTAGCCCAACATAAGGGGTACTGATATGGTCTCACCAAAAGCCACATTATTATCACATTCAAATCAACAGCCACTTAAGAATCCTCATATTTTTGTAAGAACTTGTTGCAAGGTGATGATGAGAACAAATTGACTAAATATTGCTTACCACCATGGTGAGTTATAAGGCCAGCTGAAGGTGCTCTCTTGATCACAGTGGCTCATTAGGTAGTTGAAGATAGAAGAGTCTCAAGCAGACCCATCCAGGTGTGTAGTGAGGTTATAACAAACACCAGCTGTTGAGAGGTTAGAGAAGCTTTGGAGAAAATTATCTTGGTCCTCAGATACACTACTGGAGAGGCAAATTGAAAGTTACTGATTCACTTATGTGTATCCAGCTCCATGATACTTTCTTCAAAGGAGAGATTCTGCAAGCTCATGTTGGTATTTCTGGAGGAAAAAGCATGGGCAGGATTGAAAAGAGAAAAGACATTGCAATGCTACTATTTGTGTTCAAGAAGCAGAGAAATACATAAGATTACAAGAGAAACTCTATGTCAGACATCTCATTTGCAACCTAGATTTTGAAATCTCAACCATTTACTGCCTCAGGAAAGGGCACCTATCAGAAAGGACAGAGGGTGATCTGTTATGTAGTTTCACATACGATTTCCTGTAATATAATAAGAGTGTATAAGCTACTATCCCTCATTTTATTGGTAAGGGAATTGAGATTTGGAGAGAAGGCATGACAACCAAGATGTAAGGAAATACCAAGTGCTGGTTATCTCTAGTTCTATCCACTCCTTAAGGTGGACTACTATTCCCCAGACCCTGGGATTGCCTATACAGTAAGGTGGCTGACCTCCCAGGTGTGATGGTGGAGATGGAGACCAGGCCTGCTCTGCCCCTTTCCAATGCTGCCTCCTCCTCTCAGCGGGGGACCCAGGTCTCCTTTCCAGCATCCACCATTTCACATGGTCCTGGTTCTGCTTATGTGTTTTCATAATGCAGATCATTTATGCTCCATGCCTTGCCTTGTCCTGCCTCTTCTGTAAAATGAAAAATTTGATAAAGGGCATTTAGAACAAATAGTTTACAATTGTAAATATCAAAATGGAAAACCTGAATTCATCTTGGTTCTCCTTCCATCTCCAAGAGGAAAAAACTCCCCAGGGCTAAGGTTTTTGACTTACATTAATTCTATGTCCCACCTCCCACTATACTGTGGAAGCAGGAAATCTGAAACACTAGACCCCCTAGCCTTTCCAGGCTCCCTTGCAGCCAGGGTTCTAGATTCTTCTAGATTCTTATATTTATTCATGCAAAATTTGGATGGTGGAAGGGATGTGGAAGCCACCTTTCTGCAGAGATGGTGGCTGGTGGGCAGCTGTGACCTCCATGTTTGCAGTGATGTGTTGTGAGGGGGACTGTGCTGGTGGCACTTGTGAGGGCAAGAGCAAACACAGTATCATGATTGGCTGCTGCAGTGGTGTGGTTCAGCAGTGGTCTCTGACTTCTTTATCTCCAGCTCTTCCACAGATGTTGTGAGCACCAAAGTCTCTTATTAAATGCCTTCTAAGAATAGCTGCTTACCAATCCTCCGGCCAGCCCTCTGTTCCAGTTGCTACCACTGTATAACAAATAATCCCCAAACTTAGTGGCACAAAATAACAAATTTATTTTGCTCAAATAAGGCATAGTGGCTATGGTTTGTCTCCCCTCCACAATATGAGGGGAATGAAGCTATGAAGACTTAATGGCTGAGGGTGACTTACCAGTTGGGGGCTGGAGTCATTTAGAAACATCTTTACTCACAGGTTTGGTAGTTGATGCTAGCTAGGCTGGAACATCAGCTGGGACTGCCAATAAGAACACCCACACAGCCAGGGCTTCCTCCTAGCACAACATCCTCGGGTTGATCAGACTCCTTATATGTCAACTAAGGCTCCCACAGTGAATGTCCCAAGAGAAACAGGTGAAGCTTCCCAGGCTTCTCTGGCCTCAGAGGTCATACCTTGACATTCTCACTGCATTCTTTGGGTTGAAGCAGTCACAAGCTGGCCCAGACACCAGGGAAGGGGACATGGTCTACATCTCTAGATGGGAGGAGCTTCAAAGAATGTATGGCCTTAATTTAAAATGCCCTTAGCCCTCTTGGGACACCTGGGTGACTCAGTCAGTTAAGCACTGACTCTTGGTTTTGGCTCAGGTCATGATCTCTGGGTCCTGGGATCGAGCCCCATGTTGGGCTCCTCACTCAGTACAGAGTCTGCTTGTCCTTCTCCCTCTGCTCCTCCCTCTCTCTCTCTCTCATAAATAAATACAATCTTAAAAAAACCCAAAAATCCCTTAGCCCTCTTTCCACAGGGTATCTCAGTAATTGCTCTTTTTTCCAGTTTCACTGTGTAAGTTAAAGGCGTACAGCATGATGGTTTGATTTACACATATTTGTAATGGTTACCACAAGAGGTGCAGCCAACATCCATCTTCTCACATAGGCACAAAATATGGGATGCTTCCCAAATTTGCATGTCATCCTTACACAAGGACTATGCTAGTCTTCTCTGTGTCATTCCAATTTTAGTATGTGTGCTGCTGAAGCGAGCACTCTCAGTAGTTGTTTAATGGGGGGATGGGTATTCAGACACTGAGGTTTTATTAAGATAATGATGTCCTTGGAACTACTTCTGTTTCTCACTCAAACCAACAAATTTCAAGTTAGGAAAGAAAACAAGCACTTTAACAAATATAGAGGTAAGAAGAAAAATATACCTGCTTAGTATTATATACCTTGAAAGGTTTCTCTACCAAAAAAAGGAAAGAAAGAAAGAAAAGGAAAATGGCTTTCATAATATATTTCCAAACACAGTATTTTTTATTATGTTATGTTAGTCATCATACAGTACATCATTAGTTTTTGATGTAGTGTTCAATGATTCATTATTTGCATATAACACCCAGTGCTCATTACAATGCTTGCCCTCCTTAATACCCATCACCCGGCTACCCCAACCCCCACTCCCCTCCCATCTGAAACCCTCAGCTTGTTTCCCAGGGTCCATAGTCTCTCATGGTTCATATCCCCCTCTGATTTCCCCCCCTTCAGTTTTCCCTTCCTTCCCCTAATGTCCTCCATGCTGTTCCTTATGTTCCACATATGAGTGAGACCATATGATACTTGTCTTTCTCTGCTTGACTTATTTCACTTAGCATAATCCCCTCCAGTTCTATCCATGTTGATGCAAATGGTGGGTACTCATCCTTTCTGGTGGCTGAGTAATATTCCATTGTATATATGGACCACATCTTTTTTATCCATTCGTCTGTTGAAGGACATCTCAGCTCCTTCCACAGTTTGGCTATTGTGGACATTGCTGCTATGAATATTTGAGTGCATGTGCTCCTTCTTTTCACTACCTCTGTATCTTTGGTGTAAATACCCAGTAGTGCAATTGCTGGGTCATAGGGTAGCTCTATTTTTAACTTTTTGAGGAACCTCCATACTGTTTTCCAAAGTGGTTGTAATAACTTGCATTCCCACCAACAGTGTAAGAGAGTTCCCCTTTCTCCACAACCTCTCGAGCATTTGTTGTTTCCTGCCTTGTTAATTTTTGCCATTCTAACTGGTGTAAGGTGGTATCTGAATGTGGTTTTGATTTGAATTTCCCTGATGGCTAATGATGTTGAACATTTTTTCATGTGTCTGTTAGCCATTTGTATGTCTTCTTTGGAGAAGTGTCTTTCATGTCTTCTGCCCATTTTTTGACTTGATTATTTGTTTTTGAGTGTTGTCTGAGAAGTTCTTTATAGATCTTGGATACCAGCCCTTTATCTGTAATGTCATTTGCTTATTCTCCCATTCCGTGGGTTGCCTCTTAGTTTTGTTGACTGTTTCCTTTGCTGTGCAGAAGCTTTTTATCTTGATGAAGTCCCAAAAGTTCATTTTTGCTTTTGTTTCCCTTGCCTTTGGAGACGTGTCATGAAAGAAGTTGCTGTGACCAATGTTGAAGAGCTTACTGCCTATGTTCTCCTCTGGGATTTTGATGGATTACTGTCTTACATTGAAGTCTTTCATCCATTTTGAGATTATCTTTGTGCATGGTGTAAGAGAATGGTCGAGTTTCATTCTTCTGTATGTAGCTGTCCAATTTTCCCAGCACCATTTATTGAAGAGACTGTCTTTTTTGCATTGGATATTTTTTCCTGATTTGTTGAAGATTAGTTGGCCATAGAGTTGAGGGTCCATTTCTGGAAACTCTATTCTGTTCCATTGACCTATGTGTCTGTTTTTGTGCTAATACCATGCTGTCTTGGTGATCACAGCTTTGTAATATAGCATGAAGTCAGTCAACATCATGCCCCCAGTTTTGTTTTTTTTTTCAACATTCCCTTGGCCATTTGGGGTCCTTTCTGGCTCCATACAAGTTTTAGGATTGTTTGTTCCAGCTCTTTGAAAAATGCCAATGGTATTTTAAGTAGGGATGACGTTGAAAGTGTAGATTTCTCTGGGAAGCATAGCCACTTTATTATTTATTTATTTATTTTAAAGATTTTATTTATTTATTTGACAGAGAGACACAGCGAGAGAGGGAACACAAGCAGGGGGAGAAGGAGAAGCAGGCTTCCCACAGAGCAGGGAGTCTGATGTGGGGCTTTATCCCAGGACTCTGGGATCATGACCTGAGCCGAAGGCAGGTGCTGAATGACTAAGCCACCCAGGCGCCCCAGCATAGCCATTTTAACAATGTTTATTCTTCCAATCCATGAGTATGGAATGTTTTTCCATCTTTTTGTGTCTTCTTCAATTTCTTTTGTAAGTGTTCTGTTGTTTCTAGAGTATAGATTCTTTATCTCTTTGGTTAGATTTATTCCAAGGTATCTTATGGTTTTTGGTGCTATTGTAAATGGAATTGATTCCCTAATTTCTCTTTCTTCAGTTACATTGTTAGTATATAGAAAAGCAACTGATTTCTGTGCATTTTGTATCCTGCCACATTACTGAATTGCTGTATGAGTTCTAGTGATTTGGGGGTGGAGTCTTTTGGGTTTTCCACATGAAGTATCATGTCATCTGTGAAGAGAGAGAGTTGACTTCTTTGCCGATTTGAATACCTTTTATTTCTTTTTGTTGTCTGACTGCTGATGCTAGGATTTCTAGTACTATGTTGAACTGTAGTGGCGAGTGTGGGCATCCCTGTCATGTTCCTAATCTTAAGGGACATGCTCTCAGCTTTTCCCGATTGAGAATGATATTGGCTGTGGGCTTTTCATAGATGTATTTTATGAGATTGAGGAATGTTCCCTCTATCCCTATGCTCTGAAGAGTTTTAATCAGGAACGGATGCTGTATTTTGTCAAATGCTTTTTCTGCATCAATTGAGAGGATCATATGGTTCTTGTCTTTTCTTTTATTAATGTGCTCTATCACATTGATTGATATGCGAATGTTGAACCACCCTTGCATCCCAGGAATAAATCCCACCTGGTCGTGGTGGATAATCCTTTTAATGTACTGTTGAATCCTATTGATTAGGATCTTGTTGAATATTTTGGTATCCATGTTCATCAGGGATATTGGTCTGTAATTCTCCTTTTTGATGGGGTCTTTGTCTGGTTTTGGGATCAGGGTAATGCTGGCCTCATAGAATGAGTTTGGAAGTTTTCCTTCTGTTTCTATTTTTTGAAACAGCTTCAGAAGAACAGGTATTATTTCTTCTTTAAATGTTTGGTAGAATTCCCTGGGAAGCCATCTGGCCCTTGACTCTTGTTTTTTCAAACATAGTATTTTTAAGTAAATAGAATCAATACAGAAAAGCAAACATCCTCTCCCGCCAGGGAAACCTCCCTTGGGCTCCCTGTTAATCAGGCTCACCTGTTCCAGTTCCTCATGGTCCCCCGTTCTTGGTCCTCATAACATGTGTCTCCATTTGTAACAAAATATTTGTGTGATCTTTTCTATAAACTTTTTATTGTGACAAATTGCAAACATACAAAAGTAGACAGCACAGTATCATAAACTCCCATCATTACCAGTTTCAGCATTTTGTCAACTCATGGGCAGTATGATTTTATCCACAGCTCCTGTCTACTTCTTCCCTTTTGAAGCCAATCCGAGACAGCCTATCATTTCATCTGTAAAGATTTCAGTATGTATTTGTTAACAATAAAGCCTCTTTTTTCTAAACAAAACTGCCATACTATCACATTGAAAATAAGAACAATAATTATTCAACAACAAAGATCCAGTCAGTTCCAAATGTTTAGCTGTCTTACATAAGTTTTAGAGTTTGTTTGAATCAGTATCTAGGGATGCCTGGGTGGCTCAGTTGGTTAAGCCTTCAACTCAGATCATGATCCCAGGGTCCTGGGATCAAGCCCCACATCTGGCTCCCTGCTGGACGGGGAGTCTGCTTCTCCCTCTTCTCCTCCCTCTGCTCGTGCTCTCTCTGTCAAATAAAGAAATAATCTCTTTGTGAATCAACATCTAAATAGGAGTCCCATTATGGGATTAGTTGATACGTCTTTTAAGTCTCTTCTAATTTGTAGGTGTTCCTTTCCACCTCTTTAATTTCTCTCATTGCAATTTATTTGTTGAAGTGGATCGTTTGTCCTATAGAGTTTCATAGAGTCTGGATTTTGCTGACAGTTCTCTGTACATGTCTAATATGTTCCACTGTCCTTATTTTTTCTGTAAATTGAAAGGCAAACAAGAGGTTTTTCAGATATGATTTATATGATTCTTTTGATTAATGCCTGTCCCCTTCTTTAGACAGTGAACTCCATGGAGGCAGGCTTATGAATATTTTTCTCACAAGTGAAAATTTAGCATTTAGCATGGTGCCTTGTATATGATAGGTACTCGGTAATTAGTTGAATAAATGAATGAATGGGAACACACATGGGAACTATGCACCTAGGAGTAAGCAGCTACACTTCTAGGCAATGAACTGTAATGCTCCCGGGCCCCATCAATACCTGCACTTAGGCCCCTGAAGACGTTGCAGAGTTTAGCGCCACTCATTCATTCATTCATTCATGAGTGCATGTCACATGCCAGGCACTGTTCTAGGCACCAGTATACATCAGGAAACAGGGCAGAGTCATACCTTCTCAGGCCTAATAATCTGGGTCAGCTGATTTTTCATAAGCTGACAGCTTAGAAGGGTCCCCAGAGGCCCCTGGATGCACGGCAGCCATTTGTGACAGCAAAGAGGGAGATTCTGGGGCCAGTTCAATCCAGGTGAGAATCCTAGCTCCATCATTGGCTAACTGTGTGACCCTGGACAGATAGTCTAACCTCAGAGCCTCATTTCCCCAGTCTGTAAAATGGGGTAGTATTGCTGTCCTCATGGCTTGTGTAAGAGTGTAGCTGACTCTTGGAGCTCTGCTCTATCATCTTAGCCAGTTCTTGTGTCTTTCTGCCTGAAGGCTTTGCCTGGTGCAGCCAAGATGCAGACCTGAAGTGCTAAAGAGGTGACTCCCCTCAATTTCTCCAGCAATCCTCAATCCGGGGAGATGGTAAATAAATACTCCAATTTTCACACTCCTCAGCAACACAGTAATGAGGTATGTCCCTGCTGTGTCTCAGAGGGTCCCCATTGCATGTTC